TCGCTCTCTTTCTCTCTCTCTCTCTCTTTTTCTCTTTCTCTCTCTCTCTCTTTTCTCTCTCTCTCTCTCTCTCTCTCTCTCTCTCTCTCGCTCTCTCACTCACCCATTCTCTCTCTCTCTCTCTCTTTACCTATATCTCTCTCTATTCATCTATATATCCCTATATCTTATTATCTATCTCTATCAATCTATCCGTCTACCTACCTACGTCTACCTTCTATTCGTATGCAAATCTATCCATATATTCAACGATCTATTTTTCTTACAGAGCATGTCCAACCTCCTGCAACAACTTGTCCGAAACCAAATGCAGACGACTTCAGTTCAACATCTACTAATATAGAACTCCTGCAACCATCGCTTACGATCAAATCCAAACAATCTGGATAAAACGGGGGATATTTAGTAGCCAATTTCGAACAGGAATGTCTTGGCTATTTTACTCTAGACTGTTTAATAAGTCTTTGGGGATCTTGAACTTGGCCATTTCGAGTCGAAGTTCGCGTCGGGGAGCCCGGCCCGCGTTCGCAAAAAGTGTAGATCGACGTCGCCATCTATCGGTTGCTATGGATCTCTCTCTCTCTCTCTCTCTCTCTCTCTCTCTCTCTCTCTCTCTCTCTCTCTCTCTCTCTCTCTCTCTCTCTCTCTCTCTCTCTCTCTCTCTCTCACACACATATATATTTCATAGACAGATACATAGTGTGCGAAATGAATTAGAGAGAGAGAGAGAGAGAGAGAGAGAGAGAGAGAGAGAGAGAGAGAGAGAGAGAGAGAGAGAGAGAGAGAGAGAGAGAGAGAGAGAGAGAGAGAGAGAGAAACAAGCAAGCAAGCAAACAGACAGTAGGAAGAGAATGTCGGGAGAAACCCTTCTTCACACCGACAAAAAGGATCCGAAAGAAAAAAACAAGGAAAGAAAAGAGAGAAGCAATAATAAAAAAAGATAAAGAGAGAAAAAAACTAACCCAGACCTCATGGCGAAGAATATAAAACGAAATCAGAGTCAGAATCGCAAGTCACAGCCCGACCTACATCACCTAGCTCTCCTTTTCCAACGCAAAAAAAACAACAACAAAACAAAACGTAAAAAAAAAACGGTTTTCACTCACTCCCACGACCCAAAGAATTAAATAAACGAATAATGGAAGAAAATGGACGAATAGAAAGAATATATAAAAAAGGGGAGGTAGCGTTGTTGTCCAGAGCGCCCGTACCTCAGCGCCTAGTTCAAGGTCAGAGACTCAGAAACTCGCCCCTCCCTCCTACCCTACCCCCCCCCCCGCCCCCTACTCCTCCCTGTCTGGACGAGTACTAGTTTGCTAGTTGGTGGTCCGGGGGCGGGCCGGTCTCTCGCTCCCTCCCTCGGGGTCTGCACACGTAGGTGCACACACGCACACACAGAAACACAAACTCACACGTACACGCACACACAGAAACACACGAACACACACACACATACAAACACACGTACACGCACACAGAGAAACACAAACACACACACACAAACACAGGTACAGTAAATACAAATAGACGTATATGCACACGAACACACGTATATGCACACATAAATAGGTACAGTACACACACACATCCGTTCACTATATAAACATATATTCATACATATTGACACGAACAAGCATTACCTACATTCACACACACACACAAATAAAATAAATAAAATAAGCAATAAACAAGTCAACATATAAACAAATGGCTATAAACAAACCCTTCCAGATAATAAAAAAAAAAAAAAGAACCAAAATAAAAACCATAAAATGCTTTTGATTCCAAACCACAGCACAGGAGGACACGCTCGACCATTACCTTCTGCTGCCTTCGAAGTCGACCGTCTGACTCGACCGCAGTTTACACTTCAGTTGTTAACCCCTTCACTCTGTCTGTCTGTCAGTGTGTCTGTTTGTGTTTGTGTGTTTGTGTGTTTGTGTTTGTGTGTGTGTTGTGTGTTTGTGTGTGTGTGTGTGTTTGTGTGTGTGTGTGTGTGTGTGTGTGTGTGTGTGTGTGTGTGTGTGTGTGTGTGTGTGTGTGTGTGTGTGTGTGTGTGTGTGTGTGTGTGTGTGTGTGTGTGCGTGTGTGTGTGCGTGTGCGTGTGCGTGTTTCTGTGAATGCGTATGAATATGAAATGAGTACATGTTAACGTGGATGCACGTATATGTGAGTATACGAATCTCAACAAGACTATACATAACTGTGTACACGCATATACACACACCCATCTCTGTCCGTATGTACGTCCACGTGTAGACGAGTGCGCGCACACACCCATCTCTGTGCGTATGTACGTCCACGAGCAGACGAGCGCGCGTGCATATCCCACCCATTTCCTGTACCTCGTTCCCTGTCTCCCCCGCTCACAAGCCGCCCACAAGCCGCCCGCAAGCCTTCCCCTACGCGATCGTCAACGCCAGAGACTCGTATGCTTCGCGTGTCATGATCCGCGCTGACATGACGCTGACATGACTTTCCACTTCTATAACCTCAAAGG